CAATTGCCTTTTGTTTATCAATGCTAAATACAATTAGCAAAGGGATACAAACTAAGACAGAGAAACTGCAAGAGACTGAAAGTCTGCCCCCAACTATTCTCAGTGTATTCGTTGTGTGCTCCAACCATCTTGGAAAGACAATAAATGGAAGGTCCAGCTCTTAAAATTAGAGGTCAATTAGACACTTAACGATGAGGCATATGTTCAAATATATATCTATTATTATTATGCTAGCAAAAAATTAATTAACCAGGTCAGGCAGGCCATGAAGGCTAATGTGAAAAGTAATTATTTCTGATCTCCCAACTACTTCACATAAAAAGGTAGTCCTTTATTCTGCTGAGTAGATACCTAAAATGCCTGTAGTTAATCACACTGAAGGCAACAAAAGGCAAGGTTTATGTCCTTAAAAGATGAGAATACATCCCAAGTTACTCTATTTAATTGTTTAAAGACAATCACTTTCTTGCTTATAATATTAACCATCTTTGTGGCTTCCACACAAGAAGAGAGGAAAACATTTTATAATGTTCTAACACGTGGAGAACACAGAGACGCACAATATATGCCCACAGCACACATTAATATATTATAATCAAACTAGAAAAACACTGTGCAGGAAAACTACTCATGGATTCTTAAGAACAAAATGAAGCTTTAATGAAACAAAAAAGTAAGCAAGCAGCATGTAGTACAGCATTTATAAGAAAGTTTTCAATAAGACAGAGTATAGCAAGAAACAGCAACAGAAGTCAGTTCAGATATTTTTATAGGCTGAATTTGCCATCCAGCAAGACATGAGGAGGGGAAAGCAATAAATATTGTATATTAAATATAAAGAAAATAATTTCAACTCTCAAAATTATACACAAAAATGTGTATGTATACAAAATGACAAAATCATTGGCCCCAGCAAAATGTTCATAAAATGCCAACCAATCAGTCCATTATTGAGACTATTTTTCAGCCAATCACATGAGGTAATAATATTGCCTGATAGGCACAACATACAAGAAACTTGAATAACTTTACATTTGAGGTCTGAGAAGCATCTAAATAATTGTATAATACTATTTACCCCTAGAAACCATTCTCATAGAGATATTTTAATGATGAAACCTTTTGCAGAGATCATGTTATAGCTATAAAATGACATTATTGAATGTATTCTCCTAATCTGCTATAGAAACCAAAGAATGTGATACATTGTGTTCATGAGTACATTCTCCAACTTCAAAACCACAGTCTGGCCAAATGAGGTGAGATGGATAAATATTTGAACAGATCAATACATCACAATAAAATATTTTCTTTTGCTTAAAATAGGCTCATTTAATAGTTGATTAGAGTACTATAAACATGATTTGATCTGTGTATAACTATCATGTGGATTAAAAGTTAATTTTATTTATCAGTTAGCTTAAAAATATAATGTATTAAAAGACAGCTAAGATGCTACAGTGCCATGGGTGGGATTGGGAAGGTAAAATTATGGAAGCAGTTATCTGCTAACTACCGCCAATGCCAAGGATCCATATCCCATGACCTATTAGTTTTGCTTCATAGAGACTTAATAAAACTGGAATCTCTATCCTGGAAATCTTAAAAAGATATAATTTTTGGGTTCCACATCAGGAGAATTATTTAATATGTAACGAATTAGAGGAATCACCATTTTCTTCAAAGGATTTAAATTCACTAAGCAAACAACCTCCTAAAAGATTTGCTAAAATTATTAAAATATTTTAATAATCATTTAAAATTATGATCCTGATTTTTAAATGGTAAAAAATGGCTCATCAAAAATATAATAGCGATTCATAAAATCATTCATCACACTTTTCAACAACGCTTACATGGTCTGTATCTCTTTTAAAGTTTAGTCAGGATTTACCAAGGCAAAATTATGTTTAAAATTTCATTCAAGCAATAAAAATATAAATGAAATTGTTTTTGACTACACATGTATGTTTTGAATAACTACAAAATAAGCATGGGAATTTTTACAATATAATATTAATCATGATTTTTTTCCTAATTATAGTGGAAGATTTGGTTTTATAATCTGCGTAAATCATTCAGGTTTTTATCTTTACCATTTATAACAGACCAAAATGTGTTTATGTGCAGTTGTTACAAGAGGTTAGAAACTGTGCCCTTTCTTTCTGTTAAAGTTTGGAAACTGCAAGCCATAATTACTAATTTAGAAGTCAGTATTCTAAGCTATTTTATTTTATTGAGAAACAAGTATCAATGAGACAGTTTCAAAACTGATTAATAGGACAGTTTCAATAATTAATACATTATACATTGTTATCGTCTTAGTGGTTATCCATAGTACAAGATGCAGACAGAATATCCTGTCCAAATACTATTAGTACAAATTTTTCTTCTCGTTGAATGAAGCGAAAGTAGCTGTATATCTATCCTAACTATTCTGCACATACAGATACAAAATGGTCCTTCCTTTGTATCCCCTTTTTTGTTTAGAATAGTCCTGAATATAAACATCTGATACTCTGCTGGGATCCCACAGCACTTGCCATGGCTTATTTCTGCTGATCATGTTAACTAATAGCTTCTAGGAATCAAGATGATAAAAGGAACATCCTCAAATTCTCTTTATTTGCTTTTAGAAGAAAAGGCAAGTTTCATTTTGAATCATTTTGTTTTATTCTTTCTCCTGTTTGGTTTTCCAATGGGAGAATGTCTCTTTTTATGATTAAAAGATGTTTGATGCATTTGTTAAGCCTTATATGTTATTTACAATGTATATTTAAATTAGCTCAACATGGATGTTTCTGTTAAATTTGATCCATGTGTGACTTATCAAAATCTATATTTGAAAATATAGTGAGCCTATTACTCTTAAAATGAAACAACTAAAATTCTTAATATAAAATCCTTCTTTGTAAGTGTCATAGATAAATAAGTTCAGTGTAAGGTGTGATTTTTAGGGTTTATAAAGGTCTTTGGATGATCACATACTGAGAAGATAAGTACTGACAACATAAGTCACAAGATAGCTACTTAGGACAGAGTGAACTGTAAATGTGGGTCTTCTTCCTTCAATTTTTTAAAACAGACATTTTTATTCTAAACAGTTTTATTTCTTAAAATGAATGTAAGTCTGACACTAAATAGCTCTATACCTTTATACTTTGTATGTTACTAAGTCCAACTGCTGATCAGCATAAATTTTGAAAATATAAATGATAGAAAGTTCTACAATAGTTAAAACCAAATAAACGTCTATCATAAAGCTTAAAAATTATTCCTTCCTTAAATTGAATATTCAGATGAATATCTTAAAAATCACATTCCATAATTTCCTAAAACATCAGTTGAATACAGTTAAGTTATAAATATAAAATCATATATAATAAATACTAGTAATATTTCATAACAATATTGTAAACTATTGCCATTCATCTAAATTCTTCAGACCCATGGAGAAGCATCAAATAAGACAGAACAACTTTGAACTAAGTGAAACATATTAAAAATAAATAAGAAGTGAGATGTAGTAAAAACAATAATAAACTGATATATAAACATCTGGGGTCTTCTATTCTTGCCTTACAAATAGGAGAAAATGAGAGAACTAAATGATCATGTAATTTAACGCCTAACCGAGTTCTTAGAGAGGGATTGGGGGAAAATGTGGGAAACCACAGGCTAAGCATCTTGACCTTAGCAGTAGGAAATTCAGTGAAATTTTTAATAAGGCCAGAAGAAGGTAACACCTGGACAGTTATTTAATTAAGAATCTCAGCATGAATTGTAAAAGGTCTATCATGATGAGAAATTATTCCAAGATTTAACTGTAAAGACTGACCATCATAAGTGCCAAAGACATTCAACTTCATCTATATTGGGATTTGATTTGGAAACATACATATTTAAGAAAGAATATGGAATCAAAATAAAAACATTGGCTGTAATTTTCTAGTGAAATCAACAGAGGAAAAAGCCAAATTAGGTCCAGATACATCTTCAAATACAAAGGTACTTCCTCACACACAAAGTGTTTCACATTGACCTTGAAACTAAGAATAATTAATAAAAATTCCAAATATATATTCTGGCTCAACTACATCAAATCATAGTCCTCATAATTTAGACAATATCTACAGTAACCAAGAGAAGCATAGTTTATGGTAGGTAAAGTATAACTCTGGAACCAACATTCCTGAATATTAATCACCAGATACCCCATTTCTTATTCTAGCACTTTCTAAAACTCACATATCTACGATCCTATTCAGAAATTGAAACCACTTCCCATTCTTGAATAACTATTAGTTGAATGAATCACTAAGTACCTAAAGGAAATTACTGAAATCAGACCGTCACCTTCCCTGATCAGAGCACTGTAATTACGATCTACAATTTTTGCACAGCCAAATAAAAAAGGAACTCTGTAAATAAAGCTATAACTATCCAGGAACAAGTTTTCCTTTCCAGACTGTAAGCTCCTTGAAGACAGACATTCACTAATCTTCATATTCCCCTCAGCATCTAGAAGGGATACAGTTAAATACTTGCTAAGGAACAAGTGAACTCTCAGCAGCCCTTTCTCAATTCTTCTCACAATTGGCCCAGTGAGTATTAACATGTAAATAAAAGTTAGCTCCTCTCCATAACACCATGACATACTAAAACACAAAACAGAAAGCAGTTGGGGGGCAATAAAAGTAGCATCAGAATGCTCCCTTAAGCATCAGAATGTCTTAACCTGGTTAGATTGGGTAGGTGACAGAAGGGGAAAAATATGGGTTTTGTGCTTATATATCATCTTAGAGAAGAATACTTCAACCCCAACCTAGTCAATATTTCTTATATCCACTTGTACAGTGGTGTACAGCATTCTTGAACAACAGCCCTGTTACTACTGTTTATAAGACAGGGTTCTATTTGCAGCATTTTAGATTCAGATTCTATTTCCATGGAGGAAAGTATTTAAGTATAATCAGATGAGGATAATAAAATACACTGACCTGGATCTGTTGCTGCAGGAGATTAATTTTGTGCTGCTGTTGCAGAAGTTGCTGCTGTTGTCTTGCAATCTATTAGAAATAAAGTTTCATTAAGTTAAAATGAAATGCTTACACCTTTGCCATCACCTCAAGTATCTCTCCTGATATTACAAGAATGCTTTATTGCACCTCTGTGTGAAAGAGTTTTAAATGTAAAAGTTGCAGGGAAAAAGCTTTGAATGGGGCCATCTCTCTGCTTTAGCTGCATGTGAAAAATACCCCTGTTGTATTACATTTGTGAGCAATTTACCTAAGTCTTCACTGGTCAGTGGGGAAATCAGGGGATATGAGACAGTCCGTCTTTGTAGGATGAAGACAAGCAAACTCTAGTCATATTTGTCTAAAGAGTTTAATTGGGGCATAAAAGGGAAATCTGGAAGCAAAAAAGGAAAAAGCTTTTTATAACTTTATATGATTTACTTTGGTAAAATCTTTTCTGATGGAAAGATTTTTGTAACATACACCTACATATATTTTCAAGGAGCACAAAAAATAATGTGAAGTAAAAAACTCTTTAAATTTTTGCTGTTGTTGAACTGAGCCATAATTTACCATTTATACATTTATTCTTTTGAAGGTAATATACAGGATCCACACATCCTTACTTCACCCAACAATTAAACTGAAGATCTTAGTATGTTATCTTTTCTACAAAAAGATGTATTAACCATTTAATGCAAGCCCTATTGAGGATTGGATCTGTCCGTCATATCTTTAGGATAATGATGTCCACAGATGTCTACAGAGCATAAGTAGGCCCCAGAATGCTTACTGCCTGAGAAACAGAGCTGTTACACTTTGAAGTCCAGGAAAATGCTACTAAATAGACACATGTTCATTGACTACCTATAGAACAGGAGAGAAAAGTGACCAAACAATACTTGGTCACTTTGGTTTAATAGTGCTTTCTAGGCAGCAATTTTTCTCCTATTTTTTTTTTAAATTCCCAAAAGCTAAAATTCTAGAATGGACTTGATAGAAAACCAAGTGAGTGGAGATTAGTCCCAGGCCTTGCTTGCATTCTTCCTGAGACTTTTTGATGCTGTGGCCCAGTACAGGAGGAAATGCCCAAGTCATTTCCTTCAGCATAAAAATGACAACATAGCAATCTGCTCCCAAATTGTTGCTTTTAATTTCTGATGATAACGGGCTTATACTGGAAGACATGATAAAGCTGAATATAAAATTTAATATGGTTTGATAAATGGGACCACTGTTTACAAAATAGAACATTTAGTGGGCAAAATGAGCATTTAATCAGGGGGGAATGACCCACTCTGCTGGTCACCCTCAAACCAGAAATGGACAACTCATTCTGCAGCTGTAGGTATATATGCAGGACCCTGTGAATATTTATTTCCTCTTAGCAAACTAGTGAAACCACACTAGGCCTCTAATATTGATGGTCCCTCCTAAATGATAAAGTGCTGCATAGAAATGCATCCCAACACCACGGTGCAATTACTATCAACCACTCTAGATGTATGGGTTTGACACAGTGAAGTATGGTACATAAGCACCATGTGGCTCAAATTCTGAGTTTTATTTGCCAATCGGTTGAGCTACATGCTCGCTTCATTGAGCATGACAACCTAGTTTTAAGTGTCATTTAATTTTCATTTTGAAATATAATTACAAAGTGTTCACTGTAAGATATCACTCGTCTGCAAATGTGTCAAGATTAATTTGTGCTAGCTTATTCACAAGTGTCAATAGTTAATTACTGTGTCATCTCTGGATGGCTAAATGACATTCTAACTTCTGATTTTTTACAGTGTTCCTTTATGTTATTTTCCATTAGGGGCTAAGTCCATATTCCTACATGTGGGCAAATATTCAAGCACATAAAATACCAGACGTCACAACTCATTAAAATCAACAGAGCATATATTGCTCTATATACCCCTATAAAATACATTTAACTGAAAAGATAATTCCAGTAATAATGTCAGATTTCTAAAAACTGCACATTAATTTGAGTCTGTCTGATCTAAAGTATCAGGGACTACTGCATAGGATCATTGTTGTTAGATTAATATACTCCATGAGACAAGAAAAACATTTGGGAAAATGCTTTATTTTTTTAAAGATACACAATTATAATTTGCTCTTTTTTCTTCTTTCTTACTTCTGAGTCAATCAAGTCAAAATCTTTTAGAAACCATGTGCTGTTTTCAATGATTTACCTGTGCTATAATGACCAGAGAAATTATCACCCAAACCAAGACAACACTTGTAAGTAGAAGGGGTAGCATATTAATAATTACCCTGGAAAACAAATATAAAACTGGGATATCTGGTGGGAGGAAGACCAAGATGTGGAACTCTGTTGTTCAGCTTAGAGAAAATTACTGGACCTATACATTTAAAAAAAAAAAAACCAATGTTTTTCTGGAACACAACTTTTTCTGGATGAGGAAAGTAAGGGCCAAAGAGGTCATTTCTCTTATACTATACTGGGATTAGCTGTAATCCCTATGTAAATTAATGGCCCTGAATAATTAAATAAATCAAAACTTTCTAGAACAATCTGTCATTTCAGGTATGCCTAATTATCATGCTGCCTTTCTTTGTCCTCTGCGACCTCCTCAGTTTTCAAGACTCTAGATTTTCAGTCTTTCTCTTTTTCTTCTTCTATTTTTTTCTTCCTCCCTTTCTCTTTCTTTTCTTTCTGCTTTGTCCTTCCTTCTCGATAATTTTTTATTTATTTTTTTAAAGAATGCTTGTAACAAATAAAGCAATCAATGTGATTACTCGCTGAGGTTGGCACATTCCACATCTCCTGCTCATCAGCTCCTTTTGCAGGGCTCACCTGTTCTTGCTGTTGGCGAGCAAGGTCCATTTGCTGCCGTTGTTTCTCAATTTGTGAGGCTGCCAGTTTTTTCTGTTCGTCGTGCGCTGCCAGGAGCTGCTCCCGTAAACTGATCAGCTGGGTAATCATCGTGGAGAGCTGCCGTTCTTTCTCTGCCAGGCTCTCAGGTGTACCTAAAATGGAAGCAAGAACAGATCTCACAAGTTTGAGGAATATCTGAAGAAATCAGAGAAAGTAAGCAGAATTTAGGCAGGGACTCCCCCAGATACTGCAAGATCTAAGACAATAATAGTAGGCCATTGGGAGTCCAAGACCACCACAGGGCCGCAGTGAAATGAATGCTATGCTTTATCACTGTTCTTGCCAAAAACAGTACTGTCGTCAATAAAATCCTTGCACATTCCTCCTTCCAGCTCTGAAAACTAAAAACAGCTGCCTATTCCACTCCCTCTTCATCATACTCTCGCCCTGTCTAACCCAGTTAGGAACCTATGACATTTAGAGATCAGAAACTAGAAACATATTAATGTTCCATAATCACCTCTATTTTCACAACTAAGATAATACCAATAGCTGAGACACAGTAGGAATAGGTATATTAACTATTAAGGACCTTTTGATCATTTCCCTCAACATGTTTCTATTGTGCAAAGATCTATATCTTAAATTTGAAGTTCAGAAGTCAGGGGTCATGGAATAAACTCAGCAAAGACAATAAAAATTGCCTCAGATAAGAAAGGATTAAATCTAAAGTTCTCAAGTTCATCCTTAAAGGCAACAGTGTTGCTTATGGGGCTCTCTTACTTCTTTGCCATTTGTCATTCTTCAAAAGGAAAAATACATTTTGAGGTTGAAAAGGTTATGCATAAGGATATGCTGTTTAATGAATATGATGTCGCTGAACACTTACGGTATGCACTAATGGTGCTGAACAGTCTTTTTATGGGCAAATTGCACAGCTCTACTAAGTAAAGGGTACAGAATCCTTTTGTGAATCTAAATTAGAGCATTTTACTGCAGCATAAGATAAGAATTTCAATCCACTGTATTCGAGCCATACAGGTTTCATTATGAAGAAATGATCTATGATTTGAAAGCTTTTCAGAAAGATTCCACCAGCTGTCAAGGGGGACAAAGATTGCCAATTTTTGTGTACGTGGAAGGATAGACTTCCAACCTTCTTTAAACCCTCCTCAGTCCTGCTAAGAAAGCACCAAACAATCTTAGAAGATAACAATATTTTAAGTATTAGTGGCCCTATTTTCTTAGTGGCCCCATTGGGAAAAGGTATCTTCAGAGGATACCAGCCAGCACTTGCTAGTGGGTGATTCCTACAGGGTAAAACTGATGTCAGCTGAGAAGCTAGAATATTTAGAACTACCGGGGGATTCTTAATGTCAGCTCAGGTTTAAAAAAAAAAACTCTCTGTATCCCTTAAAGCCTTAAAAACATCATCGCTGAGCTCAGCGATGACCTAAAATCAAAATAAAGATAGTGAAAGGTTAGAAAGTGAAAGCATATTTCGCCAATAAAGAAACAAATACCATACCAAAAACTGAGCAGCTTTTTTCCAGATTGTAGAATAAATTTTAAAAAAACATTAGTATTCATGGCACCAACAGGAACTCTAGATTGTTAAAAGAAAGAACTTTTCTAGAAATATTATACTATAGAAATACAAAAACAGGCTCACAAAGGACATTATAAAATCTCTTCAAAAATAAAGAACAGCTGAATTAATCTATACACACAGAAATGAGAACATAAAAGACAAGCAGGAAATTTATATATTTACTAATTTCATTCATTTTTAAGTCTATAAATATTTCCTGAATGGTAACTATGTGTCATGTGCTATATCATCAAGTAATCATAAATATAAATGTTAATTACAACATTGTAAGAATTTAAAACAAGACAAGATTTAACGAGGTTTGAAGCATGCAAGTTCATCAACAGTAATGAAAAAGTAACATACGTTGAGTAGAATGCATATGACTTAAGTAGGAAAAGACTTTGAATACAGGTCTCAGTCAAGGAGTTTCCAAAAGAAGAAAACATTATAGGCAAAGGCTGTGTGTGTGTGTGTGTGTGTGTGTGTGTGTGTGTCTGCACGTTATGGGGATGTGCAGATTCTTTGTGTTCCAGAAGTTGAATAAAGGTAATAAAATTTGAAAAAGGAAAATATAGGTGAGTAGAGTACCAAGTGAGGCTGGAAAGGTAGGGAAAGTTCTCACTATAGAACAGACTATATTTAATGATCTTCCTCATTTATTCTAAGAAAATTCAGAATCAGTAAAGTTTTTAAAGCAAGGGTAAGGGCCGGCAAGATAGCTCAACAGACAAAGCACCTGTTTAGGCAAGCTCAGGGACCAAGGTTCAATCCCCTGTGCCACATGCCACACCAGCCCTGCCCCAGGCACGCTGAGCTGGCCACTGCATCTGGGTGTGGTGGCACATACCTTAATCCCAGTGCTGGGGAGACCAAAAACAAGAGGATCACTGTGTAGTGAGACCCTGTACCATGTGCCAAATACAAAAAAAAAAAGAAAATTAAAGCAAGGGTAATGGATTTGTTATGATTGCTACATGAGGATTACACTAAAAAGTTATGAAATAAATATAATATCTGCATTTGATTATATACATTTATTTAATATTCAAATTTATATGTAGTTTTCTTGTCCTACCTACTTATATGAAGTGATTTAAGAAAAAACTGATTGAATATCGGGGTAGTTAGCATTTTATAATGTTTTATTAATAGAACTTTCCACAGAATATTTTGGTGAAGAGCCAATAAATGAGCTGGATCTGACGTTTAGACTTCCCAAAGAAAAATGGACAATTGTTCTTGTCCCACGTCAAAAGCATCTTTCTAATAATATTTGATTTATTTTTCTTCCTGCTCTACATAAGAAACAGAAGCTAAGAGTGATACATAAATGATATCATAGCCTCTTCTGTTCAGGATAAAGCTGAAAGATCCACAAATACATTGGCACTTCCACTACTTATAGATGCAAAGATTGAATTTATAGAATAACACCATTTCACTGCATCTTTTTACAAATTATAGCATTCAAATTATTTCATTATAAACACTGAGTGACATCTCAATAATTTTTTTCAATGTACTTAGATACATGTATAAGAAGAAAAGGCAGAAAGCAGTACTTAATTTTCAGTTGGGCATTCATATGCAGCTGTTGCAATCTCCTTAAATTTGAGGAGTACTAATATATTCTGAATAGATAGGAGTGACATAACAAATGAGGTTAGAATGAAGAGTAGTAATGCAACAAGTCTAAAACCACGATGCCCTTGGGAATCAAACTAAAGAGAAATGAATTTATACCGTAGAACAGCTTACAGTGTGTGTGGGGGGGCTATTGTTCTGTTTTGTACCCATTATACGTGTTCAGATACAATAGTTTAAACACTGGCAAGTAGAGGTATGGTGCTAAACTTCACTATTTCAATTAACAGCAATTATTTATGCTGTTGTGATAAAAAAATAATATCAAGTCTGAATCACACTGACCAACCAACCTGAGAACACAAGATATTTAAGTTCCTGAAATACTCTAATTAAACATGAAACTTTGCCATGGTAAATGAACTTGAAAACAGAAGTTGCCAAAAGAATATATAGTCTATGGGACATGATGGTACAACCAGTAGAGTCAGGGTATATTAAAAATGAGCAAGATTCTAGAACACTCTCCTGAGTTGACAGCATCCTAAACACATGCATCCAACCAGGGCTTGCCTCATGCCACTCATTCTTTAACATTTTATAGTAAAAAAAAAAACCAAATTAAAAGGAAGTTTTTCATTGTGTATATAAACCGGTATGCATTTCATATGTGGCACAAGAAAAGTCATCTTCATTCAAGAAAATGAGAGGAACAATAAGAGAAATGGACAGGCCACAGGTTGGGCATGCCAAGCTAAATCATGTTGTGAAGTCTGATGAAATCAACTTGGGAAAAACAGAGATCAGATTCTGAGGATCTGCCCAGCCAAGCGGAGGCCATCAGTGGCTGCCTGGTATCATCTGTTTCACATCTTTCAGGCAATCGTAAAGTAAGTCTCTAAAACAGCACTGCCAAAAAAGTAGTCCCTTCTCCCTCCTACACAAAAACAGAGGTAGTTTCATAAACTGCAAAAAAGCAACCAGCTGAAAAGCTTCTGTACACAGCTTCTCTACAAGTGAGTGTCTGCTTTTATCCAATGTCACACACATGGTATGCGTGACACTCTCCACTATAAACTGTATCTATTATCCAACTCCTAACACAGGGAAGTTGGTCTTCCTCTTTGTCATCTTCTTCCTCTCTCTCCTCTCTCTCTCTCTCTCTCTCTCTCTCTCTCTCTCTCTTTCTCTCTCTCTTTTTGTCTTCTTATTTTGGTTTTTTGTTTTGTTTTGTTTTGTTCCAAGGGGTTGTCTTTATCCCCAAACCACATCTGTCTTGAGTTTCTCTCCGATTAGTCAGGTGGATCAGTGCTCCCCAGGGCCTGCTCCAGCTGAAGTATTTTAATTTGACTAAACACCTGATTTATTTTATCTCTCCGATGAGAAAGGCAGTTTGTCTTAATAGAGCCTGTCAGCCCACAGCCCCATTCACAGCAATTTACAGGCAGCCAGGGACGCTGGAAGAGAAGAGTGCCGTGATTCTGTATTTTATCCTCCTCCAGAAAGCACCTAAAAGCAGCTATTCACTGTTCCTGCATGTGGCATTTTAGAACTGAATTAGCTTTTTATTCAAGTAACTACACTTGTTGTGAATAGCTTATCTGTAAAATTGCTACATTCACTACTGATTTTATTAACCTTTGGCTCGATCACAAAATGGTCTTCAGTTAGGAAAGACCTTTAAAATTGACACATTTTTTTTTCCTTAGGGGCCTTTATTGCAGTGACTTCAGATTTACTGAATTTGATCCATTGAAATCTTTACCAGTTATACTGAAAATTTTGAGTCTCAATAGGAAGTCAATAGTGCATAAATAAGGAAACACTTTTCAAAATGTAAATACGATGGCAATTTCTCTCATCGAAAGTTTTCAAATACCATCTTTTATTATAACAGTTTCAGAATCAGCCCTCTAACCTTTTTTTGTAATAATCTGAAGAACTTGAAAAAATTAACTAAAGTGGACAATTTTC